TTGCCTAGTGTGAATAAAGCGATGTCCAGTGTTGGCAAATGCCGAAGGTGCTCTCTCCCTTTCGCACGAAGACTCCTACAAGCTTGCAGCTGAGCTTTAAAGCCCACCTTACACACTTTCTCACTCACTCACATCACAAACATACACACCCACACCACACAGGAGCATAAGCACACAAACACAGACACCCAGACCGAGAGGGACACGACGCATAACGGTAAAGTTAGCATAGAAAGTTGAAAAAAGAAGGCAAGGAGCCGTAAGTGAGAATGAGATAGCTATAGAGCGAGGGAGTGTAAAGGTATAAGAATTATTAAATTTATGCACTCGTCTGTTGAATATTTATATGAATTATATGTATGTAGTTACTAATATTAACTAATTGATAAATATACAATATTTATATGCATAACTTGTGGATTAATGTGAAGAAACAAATGTTTAGAATTAGCGATCTAGCCACGTAAGACTCGTAAATCGTAAATCGTAAATCGAAAACTACTTAGACTACATAACTGTGTACCAGAGCATATGAAAGCACACAAAGATACCCCACAACACAAACACAACTCACGCATAATCGCTATGAATGTTGAGGTTATGCCGTAGATTTTTCAATATTGATCACTGTTCGCTTAGCCTAGCAAGTAAGCCCAAGAACTAACTGTAAAACTAACTCATTTCTTTACTGGATTCCATGCGTCTCGTCCTTTGTCCTTTGCTCTTATCCATTGCCCCTCGTTTTCGTTTGCGTAATCGTTTCGATTTTTGATTCCAATCCAATCCCAAACTATTCTAATTCGCATTCGCTCTTCGTTCCATATTACGCATATGTCCTGTGTGCCGTTGTTGTTATATATACACAAGCATATACTCGAAACCATTTTTTTGTCGTCGCGATATTAGAGGGTATTAATAAATTAAATTAAATTTAATTAACTACATTTAACGCAACTAAATTCAATTCAAGTGAATCAAATGAATCGATCGATACATGTATATGATAGAGTTCAATAGCTGTGTAAGAATCGGAATCGTAACAATTTAGTAAGCAAAAATCGTAAACCTAACTGATTGTATAATTAGCGAAAAGAGAAAACGGAAGCGATAAGCAAAACGATGCGACAAATAAAAGCCGGCAAAAACTAAAACTGTTTCGTGTTTTTAATGGGTCTATTAATATTAATAGTTTTATTGCTACGTTTAGCAGGTGAATAAACAGTGAGCTGATTAGATTAATCTAGGCTTACTTGTAGAAGTCTTCGTGATTGCTTACTTTTGTCACGGCCTAAGCAAATACATGGGATTTTACTTTTATTTCTTGCATATCGTGACAAACTCGTGACACGGCTGTGGTTGCCCATCTCTAGTCTGCGCTGGTCTTTCAACTAACGGTTGTTTACCATGGAAATCAATTTCTATTGGTCAGCGGTGGAGGGTAAATATGGAAAGGGCCGACATTTTGAAAATTAACAGTTATTTAAGTTCACTTTTAACTACCAGCTGTCACTTGCTAAGTTTTCTGTTTGCCTGGTGCCTGAGACCTGTAAGTCCAGCACCTTGGCTGAACAAATGTTACGAAGCCTTTCAATATGTTGAAGTAAATGAGTGATTTTTAAATTTTAAGCACCAGGTGAACAGGGAAATTCGTAGGTGGCCAACGATAAGTTTTAAGGCTTAACTAGAGGTGTGCCGCTCCAAAATATGTAGGGCCTTTGTTGCCGATCAAGCGATTGCCCACCTCTAACGCTTATACTAAACTAACGGGTTCCTTCCAGTAAGAAAATGTTAGCGCCCAGCAGTCACTTGCTACGGATTATGTTGGCCTGGTGCCAAAGTTCAAGAAATAAGCCGTGAAACTCGCAACGGCAGATCAATTTCGTTAGGAAAATTCATTTTTAATTCCTAAAGCTCCTTCCTAGATGTAGGGAACGAAAACAGTGGTAATCTCTGCATTTAATGTCTACGTATTTTGGCGAAACAGGGTCAGAATAAGGAATGCCATACCTCGTTGAGATCGTAATTAAATTCCCAATCGATTGGCATTCAAACCCGGAAACTTTAATTTTTGACCGATTTTCGAAAAAATAGAAGATGTTACGTACTTATTTTTGGACCCAAGCAAACTAGGTTTTTTGGCAATCATTTTGCGAATTAAGGTCGGAATAAGGAATGCCATACCTCGTTGAACTCGTAATAAAATTCCCAATCGATTGGCATTCAAACCCGAAAACTTTAGTTTTCGCAAAAATAGACGATGTTACCTCTTATGAAAAATGTTAAATTTAGTCAAAAAATAAATTTCCCGGAATGTGATGGGGATCGAAAGCCTAGGTTGTTAGCTGCTCAAAACAGTTAGTCTTTCAGTTGTGCGCCTCGATTTGATCAAGTTACGTCTGAAAAACTGCATTAAATAATGGTATTTAGTCTGAAATCCTTCTACCTATTTTTGGACCCAAGCAAACTAGGTTTTTTTGCAATCATTTTGCGAATTAAGGTCGGAATAGGGAATGCCATACCTCGTTGAACTCGTAATAAAATTCCCAATCGATTGGCATTCAAACCCGAAAACTTTAGTTTTCGCAAAAATAGACGATGTTACCTCTTGTAAAAAATGTGAAATTTAGTCAAAAAATAAATTTCCCGGACTGTGATGGGGATCGAAAGCCTAGGTTGTTAGCTGCTCAAAACAGTTGGTCTTTCAGCTGTGCGCCTCAATTTGACCAAGTTACGACTGAAAAACTGCAAAAATAATGGTATTTTTGTCTGAAATCCTTCTACCTGTTTTTGGACCCAAACAAACTAGGTTTTTTTGCAATCATTTTGCGAATTAAGGTCGGAATAGGGGATGCCATACCTCGTTGAACTCGTAATAAAATTCCCAATCGATTGGCATTTAAACCCGGAAACTTAAATTTTTGACCGATTTTCGCAAAAATATACGATGTTACCCCTTATGAAAAATGTGAAATTTAGTCAAAAAATAAATTTCCCGGAATGTGATGGCGATCGGAAGCCTAGGTTGTTAGCTGCTGAAAGCAGTTAGTCTTTCAGCTGTGCGCCTCGATTTGACCAAGTTACGACTGAAAAACTGCAAAAAATAATGCAATTTTGTCTGATATCCTTCTACCTATTTTTGGACCCAAGCAAACTAGGTTTTTTGGCAATCATTTTGCGAATTAAGGTCGGAATAGGGAATGTCATACCTCGTTGAACTCGTAATAAAATTCCCAATCGATTGGCATTTAAACCCGGAAACTTTAATTTTTGACCGATTTTCGCAAAAATAGACGATGTTACCCCTTATGAAAAATGTGAAATTTAGTCAAAAAATAAATTTCCCGGGATGTGATGGGGATCGGAATCCTAGGTTGTTAGCTGCTCAAAACAGTTAGTCTTTCAGCTGTGCGCCTCGTTTTGACCAAGTTACGACTGAAAAACTCCATTAAATAATGGTATTTTTGTCTGAAATCCTTCTACCTATTTTTGGACCCAAGCAAACTAGGTTTTTTGGCAATCATTTTGCGAATTGAGGTCGGAATAGGGAATGCCATACTTCGTTGAACTCGTAATTAAATTCCCAATCGATTGCCATTCAAACCCGGAAACTTACATTTTTGAACGATTTTCACAAAAATAGACGATGTTACCCCTTATGAAAAATGTGAAATTTAGTCAAAAAATAAATTTCCCGGAATGTGATGGGGATTGGAAGCCTAGGTTGTTAGCTGCTCAAAACAGTTAGTCTTTCAGCTGTGCGCCTCGATTTGATCAAGTTACGTCTGAAAAACTGCATTAAATAATGGAATTTAGTCTGAAATCCTTCTACCTGTTTTTGGACCCAAACAAACTAGGTTTTTTTGGCAATCATCATTAACATCATACTTTTTTCTTGGTTTTTTTTAGCTTTTATTAGGCAAAAGTTAACTCCCAATTCCCTGCGCATGGACTACTACCACTTTATGTAGGTAAACTTAAAGGTTTTGGGCTCCGTCGCCTCGCAGACGTACAGCATCTGGATCTTGCAGTTGGCATCGTTGATCATCTCCCGGGTGGCGAACATGTGCACACAATTCTCGTTGCCGCCGTAGTTGTCCGGCATTTGCTTGGGCCCGTTCCAGGGGGCGTAGGTCATTGGGCGGCCGTTGGACATCCAGTAGAAGGCGCCCTCGGTGCCTAGGTCGTTGCCCGATATCCAGAAGTAGTCGTTGTTCTTGAACCCCTTGGCCTTCATGTACTTGATCAGCGCCTCCATTTCCGGCTTGTCCTCGATGGAGGCCAGGTGGGCGTTCATCATGCGGCAGGCGCCGGCCGCCTGGAACCAGTTGACCTTGTTCATTGGTTCGATGTAGTAGTAGTTGTCTCCGATCCGAACGAACGGTGTGGTGTCAATTTCCGAGGGAATGCCTGTAATTTGACAACTTCTTAATTTTATTTAACTTATGCGAGGATTAAACAATAGTTTACCATTGTACACCTCGGTGCGGTAGTTGGTGAAGATGTTTACATCGGGCAGATAGGCCAGGCAGGGACTCCAGGCGCTTCCCAGAATCAACAGGAGCATTGTTGAGTGGTGCATCTTTATCGACGAGTGTCCAGAGCTCAACTATCCGCCGTCTGTAGTTCTGGACACTTATATGGCCCGCACCAACTCAAAGGCGCCTCCACTCCGGGCAGCTGTTTGTCCAATGGAAACCAGCTGAATCAGCCACACATTATTCTTTCTATATAAGAAACTCGATCTCCTGAAAGGGAACACTCAGAAGTGATAAGTTTTGAGGTACATTGATAGTATAAATATTTATCGTCTGCTTATTTAATTCTACGTTATTGGTTGGCTAAAAGTTTACGTTCAAGAACACAAAAAAACGTATCAACATGATTGCAAAATTATATGCAGCACAAAAGAAAACAAATAAATAAAATATTAAAAACTTTGAATTTTAGTTCGTCCCTACATTTTTTACAATAAAACTGTTTTTTCAATAATGCATAAGATCTGTTTTTGCATAATTTTTATTCATTACCTAGTAAAATATTTCAACTTAAAAATCGGATCATATAGATGTATTGTATATATATTATATACATTACTGCTTGAATCCTTAAATAAATAAAAGTGTATTTAAAATACAATCTCAGATCATTGCCCTCAGATCGAATTCGGGACCGGGCATCTCAGTTGGTTTCGGGGAAACCGCGTCCTGCTGCGCTGGCCACACAATGCCCTCGATCCAGTCGACGAAACTGGAGACCCTGGTGTACACCGATGGCGGGCCACTGGCGCATCCCTGTCCCAGCGATGTGATGCCCACCACATAGCCCAGCGGCCCGTCCTGCATGAGCAGGGGTCCCCCGGAGTCGCCCTGACAGGTGTCCCTCTCGCCGGATACGTCGCCGGCACACATCTGGGTGCCCAGCAGTCCTTGCGCCAACTGGTCCACCTGGTAGTGCACCTGGCACTCCTCGTTGCTCACGCCCTTCAGCGGCACCTTGAGCAGTTGGGCGGAGGAGAGTCCGGCAAAACTGGTCTGCCCGTATCCGATGGCCGTGACCAGCGAGTTGGCGATTTCCTTCTCCGCCCAGATACAGGTGGGCTTCAGTTCCGGCTTGGCCGCCGTTTCCAGCTCCAGCAGAGCAATGTCGTTGTAGGCAGTGTTGGCATTGTACTCCGGATGGACTATCACCCGTCGGATGGGGAGATCCTCGCCCTCGGCCAGGGTCAGATTGTCACCACCGAGGCGAACTTGGCTGGGCGGCTCACTGGAAGAGAAGGCGGCGTTGTAAGTTTTGAATTGGATATAAGTTTTAAGGGTAACATAGGGTTTCAAAAATAGGGTTTTTAAAATTAGTTAAAGTTGTCTAGATTACACTCCCGAAACTTAAATTCGATCAGACCAATAATTTAGAAAATATATTCTTTGAAAGTGATTTTCTTCAGCTCGATTAGCCTGATGTATCGCAAAAATATTAGTCAAAAATTCGTTTTCTTCGTATTCTTTGCCAAAAACTTTGAGATGCACCACTAACAAAACTAATATTATATTTTCTGATGATCCTGTCACCAGATATCATCTTCACCTGATGAGTTCTTTTGTTTTGCATTCTCCGCAAAAAATGGTCTCAGTAGGACAGTTTTGATACATTTGAAATGTGGTTTTTTATACACAATTATGTAAACTTAAAATGTCATTCGAAATATTTTAAAATGAAAAAGTGCTTGTATTTGGGCCAAAAACCCTATGTAAGCCCGTAAAGGTTAAAAATGTCAATTTTTGTGCCATTCACAAGCTTCATAACCGAGATAAAATATAGCTGACATCGGCATAGACCCCATCCCCTCGGAATAACAAAAAACAACCAAGCACGGTGACATAACAAGATTTCTATCAGAGCCTCATTAAAGTGCTGGCTTACCCGCCCAAGTCGGCACAGTGTGCCGCCGTCAGCACAAAGTTGTTGGAGATCAGGGCACCGCCGCATCGATAGTATATCCGCTGATCGAAGTTGGAGCGCCAGCCGAGCGCCGCCATGAAGGGGAATTCCCGTGGTCGGGTGGGCATCCCGCCCACAACCGAGACCAAGAAGATCAAGTCGTTCTCGTTGGTCTTCTTGACATTGTTCAGGTCGTAGCACGCTGCGAATTTGAAGGGGAAACCCTCGTTAGTCATGGATTACATCACGCGGTGCAAAAAACTGGGGTAGTCATAAAGACTGCCGTAAAGTGTTAAAAACAAGTTTGAGACATATTAATCTGCAAGCAATTGGAGTGGTTTCTTGGGATTATAGATTATGATCACATGCAATGGTTTCGAGATGTTTTAACCAACATTAAGTGATCATAATTTAATAAACTTATCAAAGCCGTATATGAACCAGTAACATAACTTAAATAGATTATTGTCAAAGTCTTAGGATGGAACATTTTCGTTGTATAATACATTGAGTGATAAACTCACCCTGCAGACTGGATCGTACAACCAGTGGTGCTATAAAGGGATTTCGTGTGGGGGGCAGTATGGGCGGCACTTCAGTGACAGGCTGCTCCTCCGGCTTGCAGCACACGAAGTGATCGAACCTCACAAAGTAGCAGGTCTTGGGGGACTCGCGTCTCTCCAGCCATCCCTTCAGGGCGGTAGGACAATCCTCCATGCGCCGGCAACTGCCCTTCGTCCCTTGCAAGTCGTCCAGGTGGCACTCATCGAAGGAATCCTTGGGGAAGACAATGCCCCGCTGCGACTGCGGACTTATAGCAGGTGTTGCCCTGACTGGGAATTAAAAACAACCATCATGTGAATTATAAGATATTCTCTGTGATCTATAAAAATGTACAAAAAGCAATTGCAACGAAGCTGGAAGTACTTCACCTCAAAAAGTTGCCGAAAATACATACATAATACTTGAAAATAAGCATAGATCTTACAGGTTTTAGAACAATAAAACCAAATATTTTAAAATATGAATGCACACAGTTTCTTTCATTTGAAATTATAATACTTATTAGACCCATGCTTATTAAAAATATGTTTAAGTGGGACATGTGTAATATTATTCAATTTCTTCTAAAGCACCCAATTTCAAGCGTAACAAAGTTTCCTTGATTTTTAGCACACTTGTGCGAACTAGTTTGGCAATTTCTCTCACCTGCCAGCAGTGGAAGCAGCACCAGGATGTGCAGATACACACAGGCGGACGTGGAAATGGGACTCCGACTGCTCATCCTCCGTTCTTGATCAGCGCACAATGCGGACTGCAGTGGGGTCAGCTCGACGATTGGCGCTCCCAGACCGGAGAGCAGAAACCAGACGGGCAACTTCCAACTTCCAAGAGGCAATTAGTCGAAAGCGAGGCGACACACTGAGAGAACCTATTTTAATGGATTCGGAAGTATAAAAAAGGATGATTAATATTTCTGAAAATATGATTAGTTTCAGTATTTATCTTAACAATTACAGTAGAATCGGTCAACTGCATAAGTTGTATAAACTTAAAAATGAGTAAATTTATACACCATAACTGGGAAGAATCAATAAATAATTGTTTTAGATACAAATTCTGTGCAACATTGAGAGATCTTAAACCTAACGTAATAGTACTGATAACATTAGCATACCTCTTCTAAATATCGGGCTGTATACTTTCGATCAGTGTCGTATTATCGTTCTGAAATCACATTTGTTTCTGTAAAGGCACGCGCTCTTTCTCTGTACCCCTCCGAAATTTAATAATAATAAAAACAAACGTTGGCTTTTGTTCAATTCGACGGCTGGGTTATCTCTCCAGATGGATCTTGACACTTGTGACACACCGTTTGGGCTTTTCTGATAGTAGCCAGAACCGAAATAAAAGCAAAAACAACCGGTTCTCCCGCTCAATTCACTTACTCACTTTGCCTTGGCTCATTGAACTTGGCTTATTTGCATTGTTTATTTTCGCCATTGTAAGCAGCTTGAATGAATTCAGATATTGGTTTTAGTATATGTGCCGAACGTACATTTTTATTACAACTCACTATGTGTTTGTAGTTACAGTGAGGCTGCGTTGAAGGCGCCAAAATAAAACTATACATAACTTGGGGCTAAGCTTAGTAAAAAAAAAAAAAATATAAGCTGGCCACTCGAAGTTAAGATGTTTCTATATAAAATGCTTAGCTTGTAAAAAGTTCACAAGTAACTATGTTAAAAAAATGTTATATACTTGTTTCTTGCCTACAGATTATAATATCGTTAGCATGCCTCTCTTAGTTATATATTATTTTAAATAAATCTTTGGTTCTTTAGTTGTTATCATTTTGGTTAGCCTAAGATATTCTCTTCAAGCTATTAAAGTATTCCAATACTTTCATCGGGTATGCCTTCGCGAGGTCTGCCAGCGGCACAGCGTCCACCGTTGGGCAGCCCTTCCAGGTGACAAACAGGAAGAGATGCTCGCGAACCGCAAAGCTGTGATGAACCTTGTCCAGCTCCAGACCGCGCTTCAACCCGAAGGTTTTCATGGACGGCGGCATTTTCCAGCTATTCGGGGTCAGATTGGACGCACTGCTGCAGCCTGGAAGCTCCTCCTGCTTCGTGTCCAGGCTCGGCATGTCCTGCACGCAGTGAGCCCCAGCACCGACCTGCGGCTGCTCCAGGGCTGGCGGAGCGCTGTGGCTGAGCTCCATTACCAAGACATCCGATGGTGGCTCCTCACTGCTGATCGGCCCATTCGTTTCCTGGGGCGCAGCTGCTGCTGCCGATTGAGATGCCACTGCTGTTGCTGGTGTCCCCAGGTCGCTGGACTCGTCCAAGAGAACAATGCATGCTTCTTGTCGAGGAAGGGGACCCTTGCGTCTGCGTTTTGGCACAGCAGGAGAGTTGATCACGGCTTTTTGATCAACTAGCTGCTCCACAGATAGCTCTCTCATTCGCTTTGGCCTGCCGGACGGCCACTGGCTGCTCTCCGCTGAGGTAGTCGCCTCCTGGTCCTTACTGGGAGCCACGAGCTGCGCCTCCTGTCCCTGGCTCCGATCCATGAGCTCCATTACCAAGACATCCGATGGTGGCTCCTCACTGCTGATCGGCTCATTCGTTTCCTGGGACGCAGCTGCTGCTGCCGATTGAGATGCCACTGCTGTTTCTGGTGTCCCAAGGTCGCTGGACTCGTCCAAGAGAACAATGCATGCTTCTTGTCGAGGAAGGGGACCCTTGCGTCTGCGTTTCGGCACAGCAGGACAGTTGATCACGGCTTTTTGATCAACTAGCTGCTCCACAGATAGCGCTCTCATTCGCTTTGGCCTGCCGGAGGGCCGCTTGCTGCTCCCCGCCGAGGTAGTCGCCTCCTGGTCCTGACTTGGAGCCATGAGCTGCGCCTCCTGTCCCTGGCTCCGAGCCATGAGCTGCGCCTCGAAGTCGCCAAGGAGGTCCAAGCAGTGGTTCAGAGCCTGCATGGTCTCCCAGCTGTTGTCTTTCTTGCGATAGCCCCTCCATTTCACCAGGTACTGAACGCAACCGCCCACGAGGCGTTTGTCCAGGATTTTATCGACCGGCTCATTGTTTGTAGCCGCCTCCTGGGCCTTGCCCTGCCTCACCAGCTCCGCCTCGAAGCTGCAAATCAGGTCGGAGCAGTGGAACACGTTCTCTATGGGCTCCCAGGAGTTCTCGTTCTTGGAGAATCCCTCCCATTTCACCAGGTACTCAAGGCGACTCTTCACGAGGCGCCTCCCAATGATCTTTTCGACTATAAAGACGGGCACAGGTTCATCCGAGGAGCCGCAGGGTTTGTCCGGCAGTTCACCTGACATGTTTTTAAATGTATTAAAAATGGAGAAATGAAATATGGCGGCAAGCTCCGGCGCTGCCAGCTCGTTTGAATTTAGAGAGCGTCATTGGGGATATTCCAGTCCGTTATATTTCAGACGCAAGTGCGAACTTTCAACAAAGCGTCAGTGGATCAGTGGACTTAAGCTGAATCGTTGAAACTTGGTCAGCTGTTTTTCAGCTGCTCCTTACAAACATAGTTTTTTAAATTTCATCATTTCAACAGCCTTGAGGTTGTTGAATTGCTGAAAACCAGAGCTGTTTCATTAAGAAGTTATGGCAATTCTGAAACATTTAAGCATCACCAGTACGCATTACTTACTAATTTTGTAAAGCAAAATAAAATGTTACAGGTTTTTACTTTCCACAAATATGAAAACTGGTCAAAGCTGTTTAAAAAAAAAGAAGAGTAGCCATTTAGGTTTGTTCCCTAAATTGCCGAAATTTTTAAATGAGTTTGCGAGTTTGTATTTATTTATATAAAGCTAACTTAAAGATTAAAACTATAAACTCTGGGGTGACAAAGATGTTTACTTATAGCTAATTGAGGTAAAGGTGTTACATTTTACAGATTAGTTTAGGTTTTTGGAGAACGACGTCCTACGTATAATGATAGGAAGTAAAACAATTATCAGAAACATGTATTTCCATTAAAATAATTTTTTAATTTGATTATATTTTGTCTAACATATTTAGTTTGAAATGACTAGTTATATATAAAAATGCATTATTTTATTACATAATGGTACATACCAAATTAATCACGTCACATTTGGTGAACACAGTCACAGTGGAGGCTGGCTGTCCAGACCACGTGCAGTAAATGCATTTTGCAGCAAGTTGGCAGCACCCAGCCCAAGTTTGCGCCATTTTTGGACGCTTCTCTCGACCATTTCGTCTTCGCCGCGTTCGCATCTTCCATCTCCCTCTTTCACTGAGGCACTGAGGCTGTCCCTTTTTCACTGACACTTACGTTTTGCCGTCACTTACGTTTTCTTACGTTTTTGTGCTGCTCGAACAACTCCCGCTACTCTCATACATTCGAACTTTTGGCTTGAGTTGCTTCAAATTTTCCTTGTCGTCATATTCGAATCTTGCATCGCCCTTTTTCACTGACACTTACGCTGAGGCTATCCCTTTTTTACTGACACTTACGTTGGCTTACGTTTTGCTGACACTTACGTTAGCGTCTTCCATCTCCCTTTTTCACGACACTTACGTTTGCCTTACACTTACGTTTTCTTACGTTTTGGTGTAAAAACCGCGAACTCTGCTGCTGGCTGCTCGAACAACTCACTCCGTTTTTGACTTTTGAAAATTGTGGTTGTGGTTCGTCGCATTTTGTCATTTTGTATAAAAATTAAATTCGTACGCGCGACTTTTTTGGCGAGTGTGTAAAAATCACAGTAAAAGTCACAGGAGACCACCTTTTTCACTGACTTACGTTTTTAAAGCAATCCGGTTGGGTGAAAAGTTTAGAAACTGCCTGAATCGTGAATGTGACTCGAAGAATCCCATGTGCTGGCCTTTATTTTATTCGAGTGGGCATTTTCCTGGAACAGCGGGAAACATCAGCGAATCCGTTATTATACTGCCGTACTTTTGGACACTTTTGGCAAGCTATTGCTGTATCTCTCTTTTATAGTAAGTTTACAACCATATACATAATGATAACTATTACAAAGTCCTCGCAATTTTTACAGCTACTGGGCAGTCTTTTCACCCTGGTAAAGTGGTTCCAGTCTCCAGTCCCCAGTCCCCAGTTTCTTGGTGATCGTCTCTGAAAAGCTTAAAATGTCTGATAACTTAAACGGCTGCCCCACCAACTCAAATGGAAAGCGCTCCGCTGGCGGAGAATCGCCCATTGATGATCAGGATGCCGAGTATATCGTAGAAAAAATAGTCGGCAAAAGCTTCCTTGACGGCCGTCCCCAAGTCCTAGTCAAGTGGCAGGGGTATCCAATCGAGCAGAGCACCTGGGAGCCGCTCGAGGAGATGGACAAGTGTCTCGATTTGGTCAGCGACTACGAGCAGCAACTGTTCTATGATTGCCAGGAGAAGGCGAAGATCGAGAGGGAGCTCGTTGGAGCCTCTAAGCAGTCCGAGGGATCCTCTGTCCAGGCCACGCAGGTGAAGATCGTAAACGAACAGCCTGATCCTCTTCTTCCCACCACCTCTTTTGGTGGATCCCCTACCAAGTTCACGACGCAAGGGCTTCCACCATTTCCTGTTCTTGTAAAGCAAGAGGATCAGGAATATCCCATGGTATCCTTGACCCAAGAGAAGCAGCTGACTACCGTGGAGGAAGAGGATCAGGTCTCTGTTCACCTCGTAAAGCAAGAGGATCAGGACTACCCAACTACGTTTTCCTCTGTCCAGGAGAAACAGCAGAATATTGTGGAGGAAGGGGATCAGGGGCTCCCCACCACCTCTTCGGGTCGCAAAACGGCTTGGGGAAGCAACCAGCCTTGGAATGGCAAGAAGAAGGGAAAATACGGAAAGAATAAGGCAAAGTTAGCCAAGAAGTCGAAGGCAGCCTCTACCCAGCAGAAGCCGACGACTATGGACGTTGGAAGCGAAGAGGATGAGGACCTTAAAAATTCAATGCCTGTCGCGTCTGGAAAAGGAGCAAAGCCAAAGAAACTCAAATTGGCATCTGCCAAGGAGACCAGCGACGAAACTTTAGGAGCAGCAGCACCCTTTCCGTTGGCCCGTTGTTCCGCCAGTGCTGCATGCTTTGATGCATTGAACGCCCTGCCGGACCTGGAGCAGATGACGATTAAGGATCCAGATCAGATCAAGATTGACCAGCTGCTCGCAGAGCTGGATGATCGCCTGTCTAGGCCAGCCGGAAACTTCTTTAAATTGTCCAGGGGACGTGGAAACGGTGGACGTAATGGACGTGGCGGGCGCAGGGCGGCAGGAAATCCTTGGAACCAGCCGTACCAGGGTGTCTTCGGCTTGGATCGCGGTCTTGAGATGGAAAAAGTGGAGCATAGCTTTAAGATTCTAGATTTTCACTTCTTATTCGTCACCTGGAAGGGCTGCCCCGAAATGGACACAGTCACTCTTCCGTCTGTCAGGTACTTGTACCCACAGCTTGTAATCGACTACCTGGAGACCTTGAAGCGCAAACGTCGCTAAGGAGGCTTTGTGCCTGAAACTCGGAAACTAGTATTAAGAAAATCCAAAAAACTGCGTGAAAGTTCGAGAAAACGCACGTAGAAGAAATGTATTTTTTTTGGTTGTCTGTGATGTATTTTATTTTATTGACAACGATTTCTATATCATAATCCGAGCCTAACGATAACTCGGAAACTAGTATTAAGAAAATCCGAAAAGCTGCGTGAAAGTTCGAGAAAACGCACGTAGAAGAAATGTATTTTTTTTGGTTGTCTGTGATGTATTTTATTTTATTGACAACGATTTCTATATCATAATCCGAGCCTAACGATAACTCGGAAACTAGTATTAAGAAAAGCTGCGTGAAAGTTCGAGAAAACGCACGTAGAAGAAATGTATTTTTTTTTTGGTTGTCTGTGATGTATTTTATTTTATTGACAACGATTTCTATTTCATAATCCGAACCTAAAGATAATATGTAATAGTCTGTATTTTGAGAATCTGCATTCATTATATATATGTAATGTATTTGTCAACTTAAAGGAACGAAAAGAAAAATGTATACGCGTTGCGTACAAAAGTGCCATTAAGATTGCAGAGATTACATGAAAGAACATATTTGAAAATAAATCATAAAAGGAACATGTATTCATCAGTTATTTTTTCGAGGACTGAGTTCTGAAAAAGCAATGTGTAGAAGATATCAAAAGGCAATCAGGCAAATTGGTTTGATTTCATACCTTGTGACTGTTCTACCTGGGATCTTTGACTACCCGCTCGGCCTCTGATTCTATTTCTGATGTTGCCATTTGGCGACGCTAGTTCGCCGACGACCGTGCCCACTATTACAGCATTCTCGCCAAGCACATCGGATAGGATTGCAGTGGTAAGTTGTTTATTGTAATCCATATTTCTAAATATTTATGCAAACATATGTTATAAAGGTGTCTCCCCTTTTTTAATAATCGTTCTTAAACTGTAGCTGTCTACATCTTAATTGTATAATTTTCAGAGGAAATTAGCCCTGTCTCCTTTTTCAAAAACTATTCGATCAAAGGAAGTAGGCTTACTCCCTTTCCCTCTCTTTCTTTTTCAAGAACCATCCAATCAAAGGAAATTAGGCCCATCTCTTTCCTTTTCAAAAACTTGATCAACTTTAACATGTTCTGGAAGAGGGCTTCATCATATAAAATATTAAAAGCAAGTTATATTAATAATTTATATTATATATTATAATATAGGGGATTCAAAAATCATTCCTTACATATTGATACATAAGTTATTTATTTTCTTTAGGAAAAACCAGAACACGTTCTGCAGTGGAGTGAGGATCGACGCCTTCGATCGGGTGTTCAGCGACATAGACAAGTCCTGTGGACCATGAAGGATCCTGTGCCACAATGCTGACGGATACCAGTGGCAAACAGGCCATCCACTGGGCAAACCGGGAATCCAGCTGGGCCAGCTGCTCATCCAGCACTATTCTAGTGCCGACCAGCCCAGCTGGGTGCGCATGATCGGCGACATGTTGGCCCAGGACATTGTCTTTGGCCGCCAGTGCGGCTTCAAAATACTGCGGCAGCAGAACCCTGGAGCAGCTCCTGGCTCAGAAGGACCCCATCCGCATTCCGGAGTTTAATTTGGCTTGGCTCCAAGGATTGAAGTGCCATATTTTAGGATTTGAATTATGCCATATTATTTAGAATTCCATAAAAGCACGTCTTTGAATTGTAATTTTAACTAATTCCAAAGGATTATTTGTATTTTAAGTAGAGGAAGGTCTTACACCTTGGTTGATAATTGTTAAGTTTCTATCTTCTATATAATGTTTTCAATCGTATGGCAGGGTACTATTTGAGGCTGGCTGTCCAGACCACGTGCAGTAAATGCATTTTGCAGCAAGTTGGCAGCACCCAGCCCAAGTTTGCGCCATTTTTTGACGCTTCTCTCGTCCATTTCGTCTTCGCCGCGTTCTCATCTTCCATCTCCCTTTTTCACTGACTCTTGCGTTTTGCCGTCACTTACGTTTTTGTGCTGCTCGAACATCTCCCGCTACTCTCATACATTCGAACTTTTGGCTTGAGTTGCTTTAAATTTTCTTTGTCGTCATATTCGTATCTTGCATCGCCCTTTTTCACTGACACTTACGCTGAGGCTATCCCTTTTTTACTGACACTTACGTTGGCTACGTTTTGCTGACACTTACGTTCGCGTCTTCCATCTCCCTTTTTCACGACACTACGTTTGCCTTACACTTACGTTTTCTTACGTTTTGGTGTAAAAACCGCGAACTCTGCTGCTGGCTGCTCGAACAACTCACTCCGTTTTTGACTTTTGAAAATTGTGGTTGTGGTTCGTCGCATTTTGTCATTTTGTATAAAAATTAAATTCGTACGCGCGACTTTTTTGGCGAGTGTGTAAAAATCACAGTAAAAGTCACAGGAGACCACCTTTTTCACTGACTTGCGTTTTTAAAGCAATCCGGTTGGGTGAAAAGTTTAAAAACTGCCTGAATCGTGAATGTGACTCGAAGAATCCCATGTGCTGGCCTTTATTTTATTCGAGTGGACACTTTTGGCAAGCTATTGCTGTATCTCTCTTTTATAGTAAGTTTGCAACCATATACATAATGATAACTATTACAAAGTCCTCGCAATTTTTACAGCTACTGGGCAGTGTTTTCACCCTGGTAAAGTGGTTCCAGTCTCCAGTCCCCAGTCCCCAGTTTCTTGGTGATCGTCTCTGAAAAGCTTAAAATGTCTGATAACTTAAACGGCTGCCCCACCAACTCAAATGGAAAGCGCTCCGCTGGCGGAGAATCGCCCATTGATGATCAGGATGCCGAGTATATCGTAGAAAAAATAGTCGGCAAAAGCTTCCTTGACGGCCGTCCCCAAGTCCTAGTCAAGTGGCAGGGGTATCCAATCGAGCAGAGCACCTGGGAGCCGCTCGAGGAGATGGACAAGTGTCTCGATTTGGTCAGCGACTACGAGCAGCAACTGTTCTATGATTGCCAGGAGAAGGCGAAGATCGAGAGGGAGCTCGCAAAGGACGTGTACCCAAAAGCTGTCACCACTGCTGTTGGAGCCTCTAAGCAGTCCGAGGGATCCTCTGTCCAGGCCACGCAGGTGAAGGTCGTAAACGAACAGCCTGATTCTCTTCTTCCCACCACCTCTTTTGGTGGATCCCCTACCAAGGTCACGACGCAAGGGCTTCCACCATTTCCTGTTCTTGTAAAGCAAGAGGATCAGGAATATCCCACAATGTTTTCCGGAAAGATGAAGCCGATGGTATCCTTGACCCAGGAGAAGCAGCTGACTACCGTGGAGGAAGAGGATCAGGTCTCTGTTCACCTCGTAAAGCAAGAGGATCAGGACTACCCAACTACGTTTTCCTCTGTCCAGGAGAAACAGCAGAATATTGTGGAGGAAGGGGATCAGGGGCTCCCCACCACCTCTGAAATAAAGCTGGCAGAGACTTCTACCGCCAATGCCGCCGTAAAGCAAAAGGATCAGGAGGCTCCCACCACCTCTTCGGGTCGCAAAACGGCTTGGGGAAGCAACCAGCCTTGGAATGGCAAGAAGAAGGGAAAATACGGAAAGAATAAGGCAAAGTTAGCCAAGAAGTCGAAGGCAGCCTCTACCCAGCAGAAGCCGACGACTATGGACGTTGGAAGCGAAGAGGATGAGGACCTTAAAAATTCAATGCCTGTCGCGTCTGGAAAAGGAGCAAAGCCAAAGAAACTCAAATTGGCATCTGCCAAGGAGACCAGTGACGAAACTTTAGGAGCAGCAGCACCCTTTCCGTTGGCCCGTTGTGCCGCCAGTGCTGCTTTACCTGAGAATCCACCACAGGATGCATTGAACGCCCTGCCGGACCTGGAGCAGATGACGATTAAGGATCCAGATCAGATCAAGATTGACCAGCTGCTCGCAGAGCTGGATGATCGCCTGTCTAGGCCAGCCGCAAACTTCTTTAAATTGTCCAGGGGACGTGGAAACGGTGGACGTAATGGACGTGGCGGGCGCAGGGCGGCAGGAAATCCTTGGAACCAGCCGTACCAGGGTGTCTTCGGCTTGGATCGCGGTCTTGAGATGGAAAAAGTGGAGCATAGCTTTAAGATTCGAGGTTTTCACTTCTTATTCGTCACCTGGAAGGGCTGCCCCGAAATGGACACAGTCACTCTTCCGTCTGTCAGGTACTTGTACCCACAGCTTGTAATCGACTACCTGGAGACCTTGAAGAGCAAACGTCGCTAAGGAGGCTTTGTGCCTGAAACTCGGAAACTAGTATTAAGAAAATCCAAAAAGCTGCGTGAAAGTTCGAGAAAACGCACGTAGAAGAAATGTATTTTTTTTGGTTGTCTGTGATGTATTTTATTTTATTGACAACGATTTCTATATCATAATCCGAGCCTAACGATAACTCGGAAACTAGTATTAAGAAAATCCGAAAAGCTGCGTGAAAGTTCGAGAAAACGCACGTAGAAGAAATGTATTTTTTTTTTTGGTTGTCTGTGATGTATTTTATATTATTGACAACGATTTCTATTTCATAATCCGAACCTAAAGATAATATGTAATAGTCTGTATTTTGAGAATCTGCATTCATTATATATATGTAATGTATTTGTCAACTTAAAGGAACGAAAAGAAAAATGTATACGCGTTGCGTACAAAAGTGCCATTAAGATTGCAGAGATTACATGAAAGAACATATTTGAAAATAAATCATAAAAGGAACATGTATATTTGAGGCACATATAAAAACCTTGTAACACAAAGCCTATTTTCGCAAATAAAGACTGCTATGCAGTTGGGTAAAAATAAATCGGATTCATCAGTTATTTTTTCGAGGATTGAGTTCTGAAAAAGCAATTTGTAGAAGATATCAAAAGGCAATCAGGCTTGATTTCATACCTTGTGACTGTTCTACCTGGGATCTTTGACTACCTGCTCGGCCTCTGATTCTATTTCTGATGTTGCCATTTGGCGACGCTAGTTCGCCGACGACCGTGCCCACTATTACAGCATTCTCGCCAAGCACATCGGATAGGATTGCAGTGGTAAGTTGTTTATTGTAATCCATATTTCTAAATATATATGCAAACATATGTTATAAAGGTGTCTCCCCTTTTTTAATAATCGTTCTTAAACTGTAGCTGTCTACATCTTAATTGTATAATTTTCAGAGGAAATTAGCCCTGTCTCCTTTTTCAAAAACTATTCGATTCCCTCTCTTTCTTTTTCAAGAACCATCCGATCAAAGGAAATTAGCCCCATCTCTTTCCTTTTCAAAAACTTGATCAACTTTAACATGTTTTGGAAGAGGGCATCATCATATAAAATATTAAAAGCAAGTTATATTAATAATTTATATTATATATTATAATATAGGGGATTCAAAAATCATTCCTTACATATTGATACATAAGTTATTTATTTTCTTTAGGAAAAACCAGAACACGTTCTGCAGTGGAGTGAGGATCGACGCCTTCGATCGGGTGTTCAGCGACATAGACAAGTCCTGTGGACCATGAAGGATCCTGTGCCACAATGCTGACGGATACCAGTGGCAAACAGGCCATCCACCGGGCAAACCGGGAATCCAGCTGGGCCAGCTGCTCATCCAGCACTATTCTAGTGCCGACCAGCCCAGCTGGGTGCGCATGATCGGCGACATGTTGGCCCAGGACATTGTCTTTGGCCGCCAGTGCGGCTTCAAAATACTGCGGCAGCAGAACCCTGGAGCAGCTCCTGGCTCAGAAGGACCCCATCCGCATTCCGGAGTTTAATTTGGCTTGGCTCCAAGGATTGAAGTGCCATATTTTAGGATTTGAATTATGCCATATTATTTAGAATTCCATAAAAGCACGTCTTTGAATTGTAATTTTAACTAATTCCAAAGGATTATTTGTATTTTAAGTAGAGGAAGGTCTTACACCTTGGTTGATAATTGTTAAGTTTCTATCTTCTATATAATGTTTTCAATCGTATGGCAGGGTACTATTTGAGGCTGGCTGTCCAGACCACGTGCAGTAAATGCATTTTGCAGCAAGTTGGCAGCACCCAGCCCAAGTTTGCGCCATTTTTTGACGCTTCTCTCGTCCATTTCGTCTTCGCCGCGTTCTCATCTTCCATCTCCCTTTTTCACTGACTTACGCTGAGGCTATCTCCCTTTTTCACAGACTCTTACGTTTTGCCGTCATTTACGTTTTCTTACGTTTTTGTGCTGCTCGAACAACTCCCGCTACTCTCATACATTCGAACTTTTGGCTTGAGTTGCTAAAAATGTTCTTTGTCGTCATATTCGTATCTTGCATCGCCCTTTTTCACTACACTTACGCTGAGGCTATCACTTTTTTACTGACACTTACGTTGGCTTACGTTTGCTGACACTTACGTTCGCGTCTTCCATCTCCCTTTTTCACGACACTTACGTTTGCCTTACACTTACGTTTTCTTACGTTTTGGTGTAAAAACCGCGAACTCTGCTGCTGGCTGCTCGAACAACTCACTCCGTTTTTGACTTTTGAAAATTGTGGTTGTGGTTCGTCGCATTTTGTCATTTTGTATAAAAATTAAATTCGTACGCGCGACTTTTTTGGCGAGTGTGTAAAAATCACAGTAAAAGTCACAGGAGACCACCTTTTTCACTGACTTGCGTTTTTAAAGCAATCCGGTTGGGTGAAAAGTTTAAAAACTGCCTGAATCGTGAATGTGACTCGAAGAATCCCATGTGCTGGCCTTTATTTTATTCGAGTGGACACTTTTGGCAAGCTATTGCTGTATCTCTCTTTTATAGTAAGTTTGCAACCATATACATAATGATAACTATTACAAAGTCCTCGCAATTTTTACAGCTACTGGGCAGTGTTTTCACCCTGGTAAAGTGGTTCCAGTCTCCAGTCCCCAGTCCCCAGTTTCTTGGTGATCGTCTCTGAAAAGCTTAAAATGTCTGATAACTTAAACGGCTGCCCCACCAACTCAAATGGAAAGCGCTCCGCTGGCGGAGAATCGCCCATTGATGATCAGGATGCCGAGTATATCGTAGAAAAAATAGTCGGCAAAAGCTTCCTTGACGGCCGTCCCCAAGTCCTAGTCAAGTGGCAGGGGTATCCAATCGAGCAGAGCACCTGGGAGCCGCGCGAGGAGATGTGTCTCGATTTGGTCAGCGACTACGAGCAGCAACTATTCTATGATTGCCAGGAGAAGGCGAAGATCGAGAGGGAGCTCGCAAAGGACGTGTACCCAAAAGCTGTCACCACTGCTGTTGGAGCCTCTAAGCAGTCCGAGGGATCCTCTGTCCAGGCCACGCAGGTGAAGGTCGTAAACGAACAGCCTGATTCTCTTCTTCCCACCACCTCTTTTGGTGGATCCCCTACCAAGGTCACGACGCAAGGGCTTCCACCATTTCCTGTTCTTGTAAAGCAAGAGGATCAGGAATATCCCACAATGTTTTCCGGAAAGATGAAGCCGATGGTATCCTTGACCCAGGAGAAGCAGCTGACTACCGTGGAGGAAGAGGATCAGGTCTCTGTTCACCTCGTAAAGCAAGAGGATCAGGACTACCCAACTACGTTTTCCTCTGTCCAGGAGAAACAGCAGAATATTGTGGAGGAAGGGGATCAGGGGCTCCCCACCACCTCTGAAATAAAGCTGGCAGAGACTTCTACCGCCAATGCCGCCGTAAAGCAAAAGGATCAGGAGGCTCCCACCACCTCTTCGGGTCGCAAAACGGCTTGGGGAAGCAACCAGCCTTGGAATGGCAAGAAGAAGGGAAAATACGGAAAGAATAAGGCAAAGTTAGCCAAGAAGTCGAAGGCAGCCTCTACCCAGCAGAAGCCGACGACTATGGACGTTGGAAGCGAAGAGGATGAGGACCTTAAAAATTCAATGCCTGTCGCGTCTGGAAAAGGAGCAAAGCCAAAGAAACTCAAATTGGCATCTGCCAAGGAGACCAGCGACGAAACTTTAGGAGCAGCAGCACCCTTTCCGTTGGCCCGTTGTTCCGCCAGTGCTGCATGCTTTGATGCATTGAACGCCCTGCCGGACCTGGAGCAGATGACGATTAAGGATCCAGATCAGATCAAGATTGACCAGCTGCTCGCAGAGCTGGATGATCGCCTGTCTAGGCCAGCCGGAAACTTCTTTAAATTGTCCAGGGGACGTGGAAACGGTGGACGTAATGGACGTGGCGGGCGCAGGGCGGCAGGAAATCCTTGGAACCAGCCGTACCAGGGTGTCTTCGGCTTGGATCGCGGTCTTGAGATGGAAAAAGTGGAGCATAGCTTTAAGATTCTAGATTTTCACTTCTTATTCGTCACCTGGAAGGGCTGCCCCGAAATGGACACAGTCACTCTTCCGTCTGTCAGGTACTTGTACCCACAGCTTGTAATCGACTACCTGGAGACCTTGAAGCGCAAACGTCGCTAAGGAGGCTTTGTGCCTGAAACTCGGAAACTAGTATTAAGAAAATCCAAAAAACTGCGTGAAAGTTCGAGAAAACGCACGTAGAAGAAATGTATTTTTTTTTGGTTGTCTGTGATGTATTTTATTTTATTGACAACGATTTTTATATCATAATCCGAGCCTAACGATAACTCGGAAACTAGTATTAAGAAAAGCTGCGTGAAAGTTCGAGAAAACGCACGTAGAAGAAATGTATTTTTTTTTTGGTTGTCTGTGATGTATTTTATTTTATTGACAACGATTTCTATTTCATAATCCGAACCTAAAGATAATATGTAATAGTCTGTATTTTGAGAATCTGCATTCATTATATATATGTAATGTATTTGTCAACTTAAAGGAACGAAAAGAAAAATGTATACGCGTTGCGTACAAAAGTGCCATTAAGATTGCAGAGATTACATGAAAGAACATATTTGAAAATAAATCATAAAAGGAACATGTATTCATCAGTTATTTTTTCGAGGACTGAGTTCTGAAAAAGCAATGTGTAGAAGATATCAAAAGGCAATCAGGCAAATTGGTTTGATTTCATACCTTGTGACTGTTCTACCTGGGATCTTTGACTACCCGCTCGGCCTCTGATTCTATTTCTGATGTTGCCATTTGGCGACGCTAGTTCGCCGACGACTATTCGATCAAAGGAAGTAGGCTTACTCCCTTTCCCTCTCTTTCTTTTTCAAGAACCATCCGATCAAAGGAAATTAGCCCCATCTCTTTCCTTTTCAAAAACTTGATCAATTTTAACATGTTCTGGAAGAGGGCTTCATCATATAAAATATTAAAAGCAAGTTATATTAATAATTTATATTATATATTATAATATAGGGGATTCAAAAATCATTCCTTACATATTGATACATAAGTTATTTATTTTCTTTAGGAAAAACCAGAACACGTTCTGCAGTGGAGTGAGGATCGACGCCTTCGATCGGGTGTTCAGCGACATAGACAAGTCCTGTGGACCATGAAGGACCCTGTGCCACAATGCTGACGGATACCAGTGGCAAACAGGCCATCCACTGGGCAAACCGGGAATCCAGCTGCTCATCCAGCACTATTGTAGTGCCGACCAGCCCAGCTGGGTGCGCAGGATCGGCGACATGTTGGTTCAGGACATTGTCTTTGGCCGCCAGTGCGGCTTCAAAATACTGGAGCAGCTCCTGGCTCAGAAGGACCCCATCCGCATTCCGGAGTTTAATTTGGCTTGGCTCCAAGGATTGAAGGGCCATATTTTAGGATTTGAATTATGCCATATTATTTAGAATTCCATAAAAGCACGTCTTTGAATTGTAATTTTAGCTAATTCCAAAGGATTATTTGTATTTTAAGTAGAGGAAGGTTTTACACCTTGGTTGATAATTGTTAAGTTTCTATCTTCTATATAAAGTTTTCAATCGTATGGCAGGGTACTATTTGATCTATGTAAAAACGAAATAGTTTGTATTGTATTGTATTTTGCAGTTCAGCGGGGATCAGAATTGTTCAATATTTAATTTAAGCTCTCGCCGTATTATTTAGCTTCACATTTTTGTTCAAAACGCCTGTTGTAACTTTCAGTTAAATCCTAAGATAACTTGTATCCGAGCGTCATTAATTATTAAATAAAAAACTTGTAATTTATTTTTTTCATAACAATATCTGTAAAAATCATTTTGTTTCGTACAAAACTTAAAATGAGAGTATTGCAAAAATGATAAAACACAAAAACCTTGTTTTAAAATCCCCAATAGGAGCAAACTTAATTTGTAATTCCCCTTAAAAATGATTGTGGAATTAATTAATTGCCCAACATTTAGTTTTCAAAAAGCGGTTAGGTTGGAAAAACATAGAAAGCTTCTGTGCATTTTTAGTATGGCAGCGCCGTGAAAGTTTTGGTCTTTGGTATATTTGAACAAACAAAAGTGGTATTTCTCGACATGAATTAACAGAAATGTTAAGATACATCGTTTTCTAACAGCGGCAGAGGCTTGTGTGTTTTTACAAGTGTTTAAAAAGTACGCTTTTTTCGTAGAAAATGAAGCCATTTTAAGACAAGGACGACTCCCCTTATTTTGGCTATGGATTCAAATCAAGTCCGGTGAGATTCCTTTCACATTGGGGCATTAATATATTAATATTTCTGTTATAAAGAGAGGGAGAGCAAATTCGAAATCGGCTGGTGTGACCATCCTCCAACCGCTGCGAAATACGGAATACAGAAAACAAAAATACCGGTCTGCCTTTTTCGCGTTTTTGATTTCAGGGGCGGTTTTCTTCATATCATTAATACCATTTCATTCGAAAATATTCTACTCGCGGGTACGTACCGTTCGTTCTGGTCCAGGTTTCACATCTCTGATTCGCGACGTGCTGAGCATAAAAGTATAAACAAGACAGCGCGCAAAGTGGTTGAAGGGAGGGTTTGTTTTGCCGGCGTTTTGGCGGAGGTGTACGCGCGCTTCTTCCTCCGCGTCCTTCTCACCACCTGTCCCCTCCCCTCCCCTCCCCCTTTCCCTCACCCTACCTTTCCTGAGTGACGCGCGCACTAACTAAACTAACGGTGGAAATGTGCACTTTATTAATATAAATAGCGCGTAATTCAATACACACACCTAGAGACTTCGTTCGCGAACGTCTGTATCTTTTTTTTATCTTTGTTGCGTGCTTGTTGTTTGCTTTTTGTTTTTGCAAGTGTAGAACAAAAAAATAAAGAATAATGGTTTGAAATTTGAATGGAGTGCGGGAGGGAGACAGCAATACTGGCTGATCAGCTGAAGGTGAACCAGTTGTTGTTTTTGTTTGCCATATTTCAAGTGCAACCCTTTTATGACGTCACTGAGCCCGCTTTGGCGATCAGATGACTCAGGTGCACTGAAAAAAAATCACCTGAAAATGAAGAAACATGTTTGTCAACTTAAACAACAATTTTTGATATGTGTCCGTTTTTATCACTTCAACATTTCATATGGTTCGATCCCCAACTTTCTGCCGTGTATTTTGGAGATCTCACACCTTTCTTAAACTCTGACGTCAACTGGGCAATTTCTAAATTCTCGCAAGTGCTAATGACTGTAACTTACAGAAGGGCATAAAAAACAGAAAAAGGCAAACAAGAAACCGATGTCCGCGCTATCGGTTGATAATGGAACATTGCCCAACTCCCCCTTTTCCACCCACTCTCTGATAAGATAAGATAATCACTCACTGCTCCGCGTGTTTCGCATTCTTTTTTTCCCCCGAGATATGTATTTTTGCGCTGTGCATCAATCAGAATTCTGTGAAAAGTTGTTAACACACGCGTTTGTTTTTATAGAGTAGTGGAATAAACCGAGCAAACCAGCGGGTAAAACATAAAACAAATTAAGCAAATAGAAGTGACCGAAGAGGAGAACCGGTTGCAAATCAAGTGGCAAATAAAACACGTCATTTTCGAGGTCTATCTAGCAACAGGTGAGTCTAATGTTCATGATAATGTCTCTAAAGTGTGAGACCCGGGGAACGTGGGGGTGGTAATGCTGGCTGTATGTGCTTTCACCTTTCTTCCGGCGGCGGAATGAGGGCTATTTATAAACCCCACTCCAAGCCTAAGACTCGAACTTTGTTATTTTACTTGGCCATTTTTTGGCATTTCTTAGGCATTTTGCTGCTTTACTATGATGAAGATGAAGATGATACTCGATAGTTACTAAATAAGGTTTAGAATTTTCGGGACTTGCAATCTGTTGTATTTTCTGAGGTAGCATTTGCTAACACCTTGAATTACATTATGCATATATTTGAGTCAATTATTTATCGTATTTGCAACGTGTTCTAAACTTAGAATGTACAAAAAATAAAATTCGCTTTTTTAAATGTTGGGAATATGAATTCCCCTCAAAAAAAGGTATTCCATAGAACTTGATAACTGAATTTGAATGCGTGCATAACCATTACTCGTTGAGGGTATATATATCGTAAACAATTTGCTGCCGTGCTGCATTTGAATTTCAATCTAAGCAATTTGAGCAGCAAGGCTAAGTGAGAATAACGATACTGACCCCCAGGGAACCAAGCGAACGATTACCCTTTATGAGTCTGGGGATTTGTTATTTTTCGTACACACTCTGTACACTTCATACTTCTTTGATAGTGGTGTTTGCGTTCTTTATAATTTACTGGGTCTATCTAAATCCATTTCCGTTTCCACGTTTCGTTGTCGCAGTTTATTCGCCATTGCCTCGGCTTTGTTTCTATTTTCTATGTTATTTGTCTGACCTGCATTTTCTCCCTAGCTTTTTCTGCACTTTGTTGTATGTGCGCTGTTCCAGTCGGTGGAAATTTGAACAATTTTTACGAGGCTAAAACATTTGGTTAACGAATTGTATATCGCACAACAGAGAGCTGAGTGAAGAAACTGAAAAAAGCGTGAGAGGCATCCGAAAATGATCTCATTCTCGTTTGGCTGTGCAGATTATTTATTGTTGCTTACTTAGCACAGTTCTCTTTTTCGTTTTTGGGTGTTTCTTCCAGTTTTTTTAGGGAGGCAATTTTGTTGTTGTTGTTGTTCTGGGAAATTTTGAAAACAAATTGGGATTCGGGAGAAACAAAAGAGGGAAACAGTATAAAATTTCTTGTATTTTGAATTAGATTACGAATTACGATGAAGGTTTACTATTCGATTTTAACATTTGTGACACATATATGTAAAGGTATCCCACTTTTGACCAACTGAGCAACCACTGGAATTTTTGAAATGTTTTTGCACAGAAAGTTCTATTTCAGGGAAAAGTATTCCTGTATGACCGAGTTCGGTTAGGCAGATCTTAAGAAAAAAAAGAATTTTAAAGAACGCTTATTATTTGTATTTCGTGTTTATCAAAAATGCCATTACCCTTTCAGACACCTTATTTATGTGGGGAATACATTGCCGGTCGAGGCGAGACCATCTGCTCCCCTTATAATTATCTGTTCGATGTATTCGCTACCCGGTGTGCGGTTCATTCAACTTGGAAAACCTCCTCCTTCTGCGCCCGATTCTCCCGGTCCGGCTCTGCATTTAAAAATAATTTCCACTGTTTCTTGTTTTGATTTAAGTTCTTCTGTGACTTTTCCCGATACCGGGGCTACTTTTTACGTGAATGAAATGAGGCATGAGTGCGCTGCAACTGCTGTAAAGTAATACGAAGTTGTCAGTGGGACGAAGGGGAATTCGACCTCATTTTCGTTTGCCGATAAACAAATGCAATTCGAGATGAGCCGCGAATTTCACCGGTCTTTCTGTGCGTTTGGCGGCATATTTGAAAGTTGTTTTTTAATATTAGAGCAGAGTGGATGTGACCTGGATTTGGCAGCTGGTTGTCAGTTAATAAGTTGAAGGCTTGTGTTCGACATAGTACATCTTTTTTGTATCGAAAATTAAATATTTGTTGAATTTGTTGTGTATTGGGTTTGAACCGGCTTGCAGATTCACACTCTAAAGATTCC